AGTCTCGAGTTAGAAAGTGTTAAGATTAATACTCAAGTTTTCTAACTTGCTTGTTAATTAGCTGAAGGATATTGCCATATTCTTTAAGCGAAAATCAGTTTGATATACTTCTTGACCTAGTGACAAATTAGCACATATTCATATAAATATTAATATCTCAGTTGTGTAACCTAATTCAATGCATTATGAGAGTGTTATACATTTTTTAATATTATTCAAATGTTATTAAAAATTATAAAATTATGGGTCCGTTTACTTAAAACTAAAAAATATGTTTCTAAAAAAATGATTTCAAAAAACCAAAGAAACTTTTTTTTAACATTTAAGAAGAATACATACATATATACATATATATATATATATACATATATATATATATATATCTAAAGATAAAAAAAATGATTTATTTTATTAAAAAATACTTTTAAGGTTTTTTTTAAACAAACCGATCCTATAACACATGAATACAGATTCATTAAATAAAAGTCAGACACCACAAATTTGTAATTCCTAAAAAATTTCAACTAATAATAAATAGTATTTATGAGTTTTTTTTTTTTTTTTAAATATGTGTTTATCGTGTTTCTCTCTTACTCTCAAACAAACATAGAGTGTAGCATCTTAAGTTTTAGCCATACGAAACCAAGCCTCGATCAATTATCATGTGCCCTTGATCAAGGATAGGAACCGTAAAAGAAATAACAACAACTAAAAGAAATCTAGAAAAAACAATGTATTCCTCTGTTTGGAGTGTTTTTCAACATGATTTTTGAAGTGAATAAACCAATTTAATGCTTGTGATTTGTTTTTCAGAAGATATATCCACGTGTATTTTTGTATGTATCTATAAAATGAATATATAATATTTGAAGTTATTAGTGGATAATAAACTCTGGATTTTACGAACCTATCTAGGTTGAAATGTTCATAATTAAGAAATTTGGTGATGTGATTCTTGTACGGATCACTTGATACAAAATATGACGAAGGCACCACTTCCAACAATGGAAGATAGGCTAAGAAAGACGCCACAAGCGAGATGAAAAACCCCTGATAAGTCAGAATTTTGGTTCAGCCTAAAACCTAGAGAAAATACTATCTCAATACAAGTGTTTTGTTTTAAAATCAAGACTGCTCAATAATTACAAAAGCTTCCTATTTATAGAATAGGATAGATATCCTCTTATTATTTTCCACTAAGCCTCCATTAAGTCTCCACTAGTCATTAAAGTCCCATTAACTTTTATTTTTCACTAAGAAGCCTAAAACACTGAATGCTAACATAGATAACATGGAAAGCTATATGACTTATTTAATAAAACAAAAATTATATTAAAAAAAGGATAATGGACTTATTTAATTATTCAGCTCTAAACTACTTAAATTCCAACCCGTTAATCCTTCTCCAATTTATCATATGACTTTGGGCTTATTAGTCTTCAATTTGGGCCCAAGTCTTCATCAACTTTTAGTAAAGTGATCCATTTTGAGTTTTAATTTATGACAACTACTATTCAATTAAAAAGGCCATGCAACCTCCTCTTCAATTTTACTTGGTTGGATTCACATCACCTGGAAAGGCTGGCAAAGAATACTCACAACAGGCCAAGAGAGGCTGGAAAAGAATACTTGCCCACAGTAATCCCCACAGAGTTGGGAACCTGAAGACCCAGAAAAAATGTTTATGTCTTTAGTTTCCCTTGGAAAAAGAAATCATAGTGTCTTGCTATCTAAAGGATAAGTAAAAAGGACAGCTATAGACACTAATTTTTGTCCGAGGCACAAAAATAAATACTTGAAGCTCCTAAGTTATAGAGGAGGGACCATAGAAGACTCTAAGGAAGCAATAAACGTCCAAGATGAATAAAGAAGGGGTCATCTCATACCTCAGACTAGATTTTCCTAATCCAACCATTGAGATAGAGGAAAAATGTTGCAGGAGGTTATCATCCAAAATTTAACCCGATTCAACTGTTAATAAATTCGCTAAGAGGTCAAAACCATCGCTAGGTTGTGCATGATGATCTTGTTTTGGACAACATTTGTTCTCACATAGTATCTCTCTATAGAGTTAATATCAATGACCCGACCATTGAAGTTAAAGATAAATGTATTCAGAAGATACCATAAAACAATCAGCATGATCTAACGGCTAATGAATTCTCTAGAAGCCCATAAAAAATATTAAAAAAAAGGGAGTTTTATTCAAATAGTATTTTTGTTCTGATAGTATCTCTCGCTACAGATCTAATTTCAATGGTTCAACCATTGAATTTAAAGATCAAATATATTGAGAAGATACCATCAAAAATTCAGCATGATCTAAAGGGTAACGAATTTTCTAGAGGTCCTGTACAACACCTAAAAAAAGGAGTTTTATTCTGAACATCATTTTTGTTCTGATAGTATCTCTCTCTACAGACCTAATTTCAATGATCCAACCGTTGAAGTTAAAGATCAATGTATTGAGAAGATATCATCAAAACACCAACACAATCCAATGGCTAACGCATTCTCTATAGATCTTGTACAACGCCTAAAAAAATTGTTTTTTGTGGATTTAGTGCCACTTCTAAAAAATTTAAAGGACTAAGTCCCACATCTAACAATTCTCTAAGGATTTTTCCTCCTAGATGGCTATATAAGCAACCCCTTGGCAAAAGGAATAGACACACCTCAAGTTGCATAGCTCCCTCTCCCTCTCTAACTCTCTTTAGGGTACTCCAAGTGAAATAAACTCATTATAGTTCCTGATTAAGAGATCTTTGAACCATTTGGTAGAGATTTCGGAGTTTCCATAGTTTAAAATTTTGAGCGATAGTGAGGTTCTTGTAAAGCGAAGAGGCTTCCAAAAAGCGCTGCTATGTAAATTTACAAAAAGATTTATAAAAGGCTTGCTTTAGAGGTTTCAAATTCTTCTCTCTTATTTGCTGTTTTATTTATCATTTTTCTTGTATGCAATAGAATAGGCATCATGTAGATAATAAAGTAATAAGTATGCAGTAGAGTAGGAATAATGTAAATTTAAATTTGCATGTTTAATAAAATAAGGGGTAGAAATTTAATTACGCTGTCATTATGCTAAATTTGTTATAGGGTACCAAGTTTGGGTGTTGTGGGGTGCCTAACACCTTCCCTATACGTAATCGACCCTAAGACCCGACTCCAGCTGTGAGGGCCAAAGTCGAACTTTCGAAAACTATTTTCTTTTTCTGATGTTGAGTAAAATATCAATAAAAACTCCTTCAAACTCTTTTCAAAACCATCAGACGGATGATTAGTTTGGTATTCGGGCAATCCAAAACTAATGAGATTTTCAAATAGAGGTCCAAACCATTTGTTGGCAAGATCAAAATTTTTCGGGTTCCGACTGTCATGAAGATAGAAGACTTAAGCTTATTTTAAGCTCTAGGTTACTTTCTTAAACCATATTTTCATTGTATATATTCTTCTTGTAAATATTTTATTAATGTTGACATTGCAGTTTTTAGTCAAATAGTGTATGAATTTTTTTCGTAGTAATTTTTTAGTGGTGTAATTATCAATTTAGGGGGGTTACAACTAATATTTGAGATGTGTTTATTGGACTTGATTGGCCCATGAGAGAAGGGGGGAGTGATGGTCCAAGAGTGGACATCCAATCTCACACCACACCTCTTCCATAAGACCAAACAAACCCATTAAGTCACATTTTTCATACACTAGTCACACTTTTAGCACTTTATCATGTGACATGCTTTCATTGGCCCTACTAGATCTATGATGTTAACATCTAATCACACCCTATGCACTTTTCCATTTGGCATGCTTCCATTAGTTCTTTTAGATATAAGAATGAATTTTTTAGAAGGAAAATTCAAACTCAAATTGTAACTAGAGTAAGTTGGTTTGAGTACAAGTTAACCTAATCTTAGTTATATGTAACCATGGTTAGCTTAACTTGTACCACCAACTGTCAAACTCTATATGTACATCCTTCCTCTATGTAACTCATTACTTTTGATGAGATTAATGAGAATTGTATTTTCAAATTTTGTCTTCAAAAGTTTTAGTTCTCTCCTTGGAGAACTTCTTTCTTAATAACTTTTATCAAGGACTTCCTCCTTATGGCAAGTTCATCCTTCTTACTTATCCTTCTCTTGAAGGTGGCACACCACTTTTACAGACTCTCCACCATTTTCATTTGGTTCTTGTACTATTCGTACCGCCATGCCGAGCTCGAGCTCGGCATCATAACGTAGAATGACCTCGAACATGCACTGGGAGATCTCAGTCTAGACAAGATCTGCTATCTAGCCAGATCATAACTGACCCCAGGAGATCTCGGTCCAGACGAGATCCGCTATCTAATCAGATCATAACTGATCTCAGGCCCAAGGCCCGACGCAACCCTAATTCACACTAAGGTACGTGCATTACTTATACGAGACACATACTCATACAAACCCTAACTTTAGCATCGGAGTCTCTTTTGCAGGTACCACCCCCATCTTGGAACATCAAGCGTACCAGCGAAGGAGGCTCACCGACCTTACCCAGCGGATCAACTCTACCTTAGATCCCTGGTAAGAACATTTGGCGCCCACCATGGAGCTGATCAAGACAGCTCTTATCGGCCACGCTTATGGTTTTCACCAGAAGCCATAGCATACGCGCAACAAACGACCTAGATCACACCACTACCATGGATAGCGAAGCAACATTAAGAAGACTGATCGAGCAGGTCGAGCAGATACGGCAACAACACGCCGTCGATCTATAAAGTATGCGTGCCAAGCACGAAACTGACCTAGCAGCAATGCGTAACGCTAATGAAGCTGACCTAGCGGCACTACGCGCCGAGAACGAGCGTATTCGAGCTCAACTCCCTCGGCGTCCCTCGAATCAACCCCCCCCCACAGAGTAACCTGAATGAGGACGAAGGGCACTCAGTTTCTCAACCGCCAACGGCGGCTAGGGCACGGACTCCCAAGCCTGCCACACATCAGTCTCACGCATCGATGAACAGGTCGGCGCATGACGTCAGCAACACCCCCGCCCACGGCACGGGGAATCAGACGACCTTCCGCCGTTATCCTTTTGTGGACGGCATCATGGAGACACCTCTTCCTTTTGGGTGGAAGCCTCTCCACCTCGACCGTTACGATGACACAACAGATCCGGACGAGCACATCGATCTATACACCATACAGGTAAACCTCTATACTAATGAGGACGCTATACTGTGCAGGGTTTTTTCGACCTCACTCAAGGGGGCTGCACTCAATTGGTACACCCAGCTCCCCGCTGAGTCAATCGACAGTTTAAGCACTCTGGTCAGGCGATTCACAACGCAGTATGCAACGAGCCGACCTCATCACATCACGTCAGCCGCCCTGGCCAGCCTCAGACAGAACGACGACGAGCCACTCTGGGTGTTCATGGAACGATTTGCCGCCACCTTAGTAAATATTAGGAATCTGAATCCCGAGGTCGCCCTGCACGCCATGCTCATGGCACACAAGCCCGGACCATTCGTCGACAGTCTATGTCGTGAAGCTCCTTGCGATATGGACGAGCTACGTGCCCGTGCTGTTGGGTATATCCAAATGGAAGAACCCTCCCCCTTCCGTGACCAAGTTCACGGAAAATCACAAGCAAAGACTGATAGTGGCCACAAGGACAAGATGAGGGTCACCAACCACAGCCAGTTCAAGAAAACTGCTAGGACAAGCAAGGGGGAGATACGACTATTACACTCTCCTGAACACGCCAAGAGTTCACATCCTGGAGGAGGCCAATAACAGCAACCTGCTCACCCTGCCACCACCAGGTCATACACCCAATAGTGCGGACAAGTCCAAACACTGCCGGTACCACAGGAACCACGGTCACACCACCGAGGAGTGACGCACGCTCCGAGACCGCATTGAGGAACTCATCCAGGCGAGCCACCTCGGCCAATATGTCCAAAGATAGCAGGGTCACCGAGGAGGCTATGGCGGACGAGGGCGAGGCAGAGGCCGTGGTTCGGGAGCTCGCACGGGCCAACCCTCTAGTTCTCAGCAAAATGCCGGTGGAGTAGTGCAAGTCGAGGTAAGCCAGGAGACAGGGTCACCCCCCCTACGGGGAGTGATCAACACAATTGCAGGTGGTTTCGCAGGGGGAGGCGCCTGCAGCTCAGCCCGGAAGAGGCACCTGCGTAATATTAACAGCATCCACTCCACTACCTCGACCTCGCACCAAAGCTCACCGCCGATCACCTTTACCGACGACGACTATGCTGGCGTTAGTCCCAATCAGGATGATCCCATGGTCATAGCCGTGGAGGTAGCTAATTGGGAGGTTCACAAGACACTGATAGACCGAGGGAGCTCGACAGACGTCCTGTATTGGCCGACCTTCCTCACGTTAGACATCCCTCACTCTCTCATCCAACCTCACACAGAGCCCCTAGTCGGTTTTTTAGGAGAGCGAGGACACACTCGGGGATACGCGGACCTGGTGACTAACTTCGAAACCTCTCCGGATACAAGGAGAAGTATGGTCCGATACCTCCTTGGGGAAGCCAACCCCTCCTATAATATCATCATTGGGAGACCGACGTTAAATCAACTCGAAGCAGTGGTGTCCACCCAGCACCTCACCATGAAGTTCCCAGGAAGTGACGGTAAAATCATCTTTGTCAAAGCAAATCAGAAGACAGCCCGGCAATGCTACGTCGAAAGCCTGAGAGTCTCCTCGCCCGACGAGCGTCGCCGCGGCGATCCTCCCATAGTGGCTCACATCACCCACGTGGAAATCGCTGATCTCGATCCGAGGTCCGACTCTCATGACGAACGGCCAAGTCCCATTGACGAGCTCGACGACCTCCAGATCGGGAAACTCCCCAGGCAGTGCACAAGAATCAGCAGGCAGTTGAGCCCGGAGTTGCGACAGCAGCTCGAAGCTGAGATCCTCAAGAACTTCGACCTCTTTGCTTGGCCTAGTGCCGACATGCCAGGTATAAACACTGACTTCATCTGTCACAAGTTAGCAATACACAAGGAGGCAAGGCTAGTGGCCTAGAGAAAGAGGAAGGTCGTTGGTGAATGACGGGAGGCCATCATCACCGAGACACAAAAATTGTTGAACGCTGGCTTCATCCGCGAGGTCAAGTACACCACATGGTTGGCAAACGTGGTATTGGTAAAAAAGAGCTCGGGGAAATGGCGAATGTGCATCGACTATACCAACTTGAACAATGCATGCCTTAAGGACTCATACCCCTTGCCAAGCATCGATAGGCTGGTCGATGGAGCATCCGGGCACGCCCTCCTCAGTTTCCTCGACGCTTACTCCGGGTACAACCAAATCATGATGTACCCACCAGACGAGGTGCACACGTCATTCATCACTAATCACGCTAATTACTGCTATCGAGTGATGCCCTTCGATCTCAAGAACGCGGGGGCCACTTACCAGCGACTGATGGACAAGGTTTTCCACCAGCAAATTGGTCGGAATATGGAGGTCTACGTTGACGACATGGTGGTCAAAACCACCTCAGCCGCAGACCATGCAGCCGACCTCGCCGAGGTGTTCAGCCAAATCAGGAGACATAACATGCGTCTCAACCCGGAGAAGTGTGTCTGCGGCGTCCAGGGAGGTAATTTCCTCGGTTTTATGATCACTAGCAGAGGAATCGAAGCCAACCCTGAGAAGTGCAAAGCCATTATCCAGATGCAGAGTCCTCAAACAGTGAAAGAAGTCCAACGCCTAGCCGGAAGGTTAGTCTCACTGTCCCGTTTCATCCCCAGACTCGCGGAGAAGGCAGAGCCAATCTTCACTCTGCTACGGAAGCCAAAAGACTTCCAGTGGACGGATCAGTGCGAGGAAGCTTTCCGAAGCTTCAAAACCTTTCTCACAACCCCGCCTATCCTGTAGAGGCCGGATCATAAAACCGACCTCCTCCTCTACTTGGCTGTAGCAGAAAACGCCATCAGCGTAGTGATAGTGCAAGAACATCAGAAAGTACAGACGCCGATCTACTTCATCAGCCAAGTCCTTCAAAGTACGGAGAAACGGTACCAAATGATCGAAAAGTTGGCACTGGCACTCGTAACCGAAGCCTGGCGACTCCGACCTTACTTCTAGAGCCACCAGGTGATAGTCAAAACCGACTACCCCATCAAGCAAATTCTAAGAAAGCCCGAGCTCGTCGAACGGATGATTGCGTGGTCAGTAGAATTGTCCGAGTTCGGCATCCAGTACGAAAGTTGTGGCGCCCTGAAAGCTTAATGCCTGGCCGACTTCGTAGCCGAGCTCACGCCCACTTCTACCGAGGAACCACATGTATGGACTTTACACGTTGACGGGTCCTCCAACTCTAAGGGTGGGGGTGCAGGTATCATAATGGAAGGCCCAAACCAAGTCACTTTGGAGCAATCCCTCAAATTCAGCTTCAAAGTGACCAACAACCAGGCAGAGTATGAGGCACTTCTCGCAGGACTAAGGCTGGCTCGCGACCTCGGGGCCCGAAGAGTGAGTTGCAACAGCGACTCGAAACTCATGGTGGAACAACTCAGTGGGACGTACCAGGCAAAGGATATTCTCTTACAGCGGTACTTCCACATCGCATCCCACCAGATCTCGTCCTTCGACGAGTTCACTATACGGCATGTGCCGCGAGAACAAAATGCCCGAGCCGACCTCCTATCGAAGCTCGCCAGCACCAAACGACCCGGGTAACATCGGACCATCATCCAGGAGACCTTGCACTCACCCAGCCTAGACGACAAAGTCGTCAATACCAACAACAACGAAGACTAGGGATGGATGACAGGCATCTGGAGCTACTTGAAAGAAGGAGTTTTGCCCAAAGACAAGGACGAAGCTCGAAAAATAAGGGTGAGGTCGGCCAAATTCGTAATCGTCGACGACGAACTGTTCAAACGTGGCATCTCCACCCCACTGCTCAAGTGCTTAACTGCGCCTCAAGCAGCCTATGTCATCGAAGAGATTCACCGGGGCATATGTGGCATGCATTCCGGAGCACGCTCAATGGCGACCAGAGTACTCCGAGCAGGATACTACTGGCCCACTCTGAAATCGGATTGTCAGGACTACGTACAAAAATGCAAAGAATGCCAGCAGTTTGGAAACACACACTGGCAACGCCCGAAGCTCTTCACCATATGATGTCAGCATGGCCTTCACCAAGTGGAACATTGACTACTTCACCAAGTGGATCGAGGCATGCCCACTCGCCAAAATCACCACCGAAAATGTGCAAGGATTCACCTGGAGGAATATTGTCTGCAGGTTTGGAATCCCTCACACCCTCATTACTGACAACGACCGGCAGTTCATCGCACAGGGCTTCGAGGACTTCCTCCGTGAGCTTGGTATCAAGCATCTTCCAACCTCAGTGGAACATCCGCAAACTAATGGCCAAGCCGAAGCAGCTAACAAGGTCATCCTCCGGGAACTTAAGAAGCGACTAGGGAACGCCAAAGGACAGTGGGCCGACGAGCTTCCCAGCATCCTCTGGGCGTATCATTGCACCCCCCAGTCAACAACGCAAGAAACGCCTTACAGGCTAACTTACGGAGCTGACGCATGATCCTAGTAGAAGTCGGAGAGACATCGCACCGACGCCAAGCCTTCAACGGTGAGCAGAACGCTCAAGAGTTAGCAGCCGACCTCGACCTAGTTGACGAGCTCAGAGAAGAAGCTCAAATCCATGAAGAAGCCTGCAAGCTCCAAGCTTCCAGAAGATATAATATGCGAGTGCGACCTCGCTCTTTCCGAGTTGGCGACCTGGTGTGGCGTCTACTAGGCGATGCTCGGAAAGACATATCAGATGGAAAGCTTGCACCCACCTGGGGTGGCCCATTTCGAGTTGTAGAAGACTTGGAAAATGGAGCATACTGACTAGAGGAGCTCAGCAGAAAATCCATACCACGAACTTGGAATGCCACGCATCTCAAGTTCTACTTCAGTTAAATTTTGAACGAATGAGTTGTGCACTCTTTTCCCACCTTAGTCTTTTATCCCAAAAAATAGAAAAATGGGTTTTGGCTGAGAGGGTTTTTAACGAGGCACATTCACACAACTAATAAAATAACTCATTCTTTTCATTCATATTCTCCTAACTCTAATTTTGTGATTAAACCAAGGTTGAGTTCGAACCTTGGCATACTTTACTTTATTTTACGACGAGGTCGAATCCGAACCTCGATCCAACTTATCTTGCTATTAATTTAGGTCGAGTTCAAACTGTAGCACAACATATTTCACACTACGACGAGGTCGAATCTGAACCTCGATCCGACTTATCTTGCTCTTAATTTAGGTCGAGTTCGAACCGTAACACAACATATTTCACACTACGAAGAGGTCGAATTCGAACCTCGGTCCAACTCATCTCGCTCATATTTACGGCCGAATACGAACCTTAATATAATCCACTAAAGGTCGAGTTCGAACCTTGGCAAAATCCACTCAAGGTTGAGTTCGAACCTTGGCATACCCAAGGTCGAGTTCGAACCTTGGCATAATCCACTCGAGGTCAAGTTTGAACCTTGGCATAACCAAGGTCGAGTTCAAACCTTGGCATACTCAAGGTTGAGTTCGAACCTTGGCAAAATTCACTCAAGGTTGAGTTCGAACCTTGGCATAATCAAGGTCGAGTTCGAACCTTGGCAAAACCCACTCGAGGTCAAGTTTGAACCTCACAACGAAACATCTCAATCTCGCCCAAAGACGGATTTGAACCTTGGAACAAACCACTTCGCTCCAAATCGGGTCTAAGCGCCACAAA